GTGTGTGTGGCCAGCTCAGCCCACCAGGGGGCGGGGCTGGCTGGCATGTGGTGCTGGGGGATTGAACCACGGTCCCTGCTTAGCTTTGCTTGTTCTAAGTAGGTGCTTTAGACCACTGAGCCATCTCACCAGCCCTCCTTTTTAAATTTTTAAAAAATGTATTTGGTACAGGGTCTCACTACACAGGTTGGACTTGGAGTGATCCTGTTCCCAGCCTCCCCAGCACTGGGTTTACAGGTGTGTGCCACCATGCCCAGTGGCTGGTGTGGCACGTGGTGTCAGGGTAGAACCCTGGTCCCTGCGCTTGCCTAAGCATGCACGTAGTCTGCTGAGCTATCTTGCCAGCTCTTTTTTTTTTTTTTGCGGAGCCAGGGATTGAACTCCGGCCCTTGCGCTTGCCAGGGAAGTGCTTATTCCACTGAGTCATCTCCCCGGCAACCTAAACCTGCGCTTGATTCATTTCTCAGGTAGTATGTACTAAGCAGTTAGTCTCCAAAGAAAGACACTCAGAGCCATTAACACCAAAGAGCTCGAGAGCACCAGACAACAAAGACCAGCAGCAGAGACCAAACAGCCACGAGTAGAACTGACCTGCTACCAGCAGCAGCAGTGATCTGCAACTGCCTGTCAACTGATAGCATCCATCACTAACTAGCATCACCTGGTGACCTCAGAACTGCGAGCAGAGCTGTACTTTGTCAATTCACAATTTTCATCTAAGTCTAGTCAAAGAACTCTAGGCTGATTGGCAGCATTTCCATTTTTTTAGGTCTGTCGCAAGTTTTTTTCCCTCCCTTGGACAGGGAGGTAATCATCACCCATATTTGTAAAACTTTTTCATTATCCCAAGCCAAAACTCCTACCATTAAGCAGTAACTCCTCATTCCCAACCCCCCGCTGCTAGTCCTCAGTATCCTTTTATTTGTCTCTATGAATTCGCTCATTCTAGATACTTCATGTAAGTAGAATTGTACAGTAGTTCTTTGTATCTGATTTTATTTAGTTGTCATAAATTCTTTTTTTCGCCCCCTTCCCCCAGAGTTGTCATAAATTCTTAACTAATTCTTTTTTTTTTAATCAGTATCTTTATTGATCAGACCCCCTCCTCTGGTGAAGTTGGTACTCCTGTCCCCAGTATATAAAGCCAAGCAGACTCTAGGAAATTTACACGAGAACACAGAGCAGGTGATGAGGGTTGCGCTAGCAGCCAACCTCTATTCTTCAACCTCATGCTGCACTGATCCTCATTGCACCTCAGCTCATGGCAGCCCCAGAGCACCTAACATCCAAAATTAAGAGCATCACCTCACCTCCTTCCTAGATTTGCTGAAAAGTAGCTGGGCACCTTCAGCCTAAACCATTTATTTCCTGTTCCTCTCGTCCATGTTAGCCCATGGGGCCCTGGGAAAACTCCTGTTCAACAGTGAGACAGACAGACGTTTAGAGGATCCCAGCCAGGCAAGGGGGGAAGCAGGGAAATACTCTGGGAGAAAGTGACCCTGAAGGCAGGACTTGAAGCCTCGCAACTTAGCCACTTAGTAATTTGTTATGCTTACTTCTCCTATACGGATAGATTTTGGTTTACGTATCCACTTTCCTCACGACTTACAGGATATGCCCTGGCTAGAGACTAGGAAAAATTGCAGTGATTTTTTTTTTTTTTTGAGATAGTTTCACTATATAGTTCAGGCTGGCTTGAAACTCACACTGTAGCCCAAACTGGCCTTGAACTCAGTGATCCTCCTGCCTCAGCCATGCCCAGCCAGTGATCTCTTTTTTTTTTTTTTTTTTTGGCAGAACCAAGGATTGAACTCAGGCCCTTGCACTTGCCAGGGAAGCGTGTATTCTACTGAGTCATCTCCCCAGCCGATCTCATTGTTTTTGATGGCCTGTGAGAGTTCCCACAACTAGGGATGAAACTGCTGGGTCTGAGTATAGGTAATGCTCTTGCTTTAGAAAGTCATCCCAAGGGCTGGCAAGATAGCTCAGCAGACTAAGGGCCTGCTTAAGCAAGTACAGGGATTGCATTCAACCCCTGGCATCACATGCCACACCGGCCACTGAGTCTGGGTGTGATGGCAGACACCTAAAGTCCCAGTGCTCAGGAGGCTGAAAACAGGAGAATCACTGACTCCGATCTACATAGTAAGGCCCTGTAGACCCTGTACTAAGTACATAAAAGTATATTCCCAGAGCCAAGAAGAAAAGACTATCTTTTATTATTTTACATGGAAATTTTCTCCCATCCTCACCCACCATTACCTCTATTCCCCACTCTGCTTGGCCTAGGCCATGCCTAGGAGGAAGCTCTGGCTAGATTGCCTGAGAAACCTCAAGTACTTTTATCCATACAACCAACAAGTTATCCTCATCTCCAAGACCAGAAGGAACTCAGACATCTGATCATTGCTATAAACAGGAGCTTGCAACAAGGGGCCAGTTGGAACTGTATAGACTCCTGAAGGTAAGCCCAGTGTTGGGAGTAAGGCAGGGTGAGCACAGGAAGTAGTCTCTTGGTGTCATCTGCAGCTTTGTCTGCTCGTCAGCCTTGCTCTTTGGGTTGGTGCTGAAAGAGGTCATCCCATAAAAGATCTCTGGCCTGAGCTGGACTGTGTACACCCAGAACCTAGGAGGCTGAGGGAGGAGGTTCACTGCAAGTTCTAGCTAAGCTATAAATTGAGCTCAAGGCCAGCCTGAACAACATAGCAAGACTCTGTTGGGGCCGGGGAGATAGCTCAGTAGAATAAGCACTTGCCTGGCAAGTGCAAGGGCCTGAATTCAATCCCCGGTACCACCAAAAAAAAAAAAAAAAGATTCCTGGCCTGGCCTGTTCTTGGTCTACACACTGGACGCACATTATCTGGCCACTGCTCAGACTGTCATTACCACAGGAAGGTATCCAGCTTGGTCTGAGAGGGAGGCTGCACAGTCTTTAACCTCACTCTCTGCTTAGTCTTGGTCTTGGGTTTAACTGGTAGTGGGCGGATCACAGATGTGTCAGTCTGGAAGAAAGGTTAAGGAAGAGGCCTGGAGCATGAACTGGAGCGCAGCTACAGGGGTGGGCAGCACTGCTACACTGAACAAGGCCCAGCTCTACATGTCTGAGGCTGCAGGCATTTGTAGTCTGGGGGCTTGCAGGTTGTGGTGTGGGCTCCACAGCTCAGCTGGCCCACTGCAACAAAACAAGGATACAGGCTGGATGAATCTTGTCCGTCCCCCGAGGCCATCAAAGCCTGTTCTTACCTAGGGCAGAAGGAAGAAATGAGTTGAGCAGGCCAATGGGCTAAGGAACTGCCCATTTTGAGATGGCTGGAACCTGTCACTTGTGGGAACTTACAACATCTGTGCTGCGACAGGACTCTGTTATGGCCCTCCTGGGCTGTTTCTGGCCCAAGACAGCCTTCCGGATGAAGACAGGAAAGGCACCAGCTAGTTCCTCGTCAGGCTCTTCTACACAGCGCTGGCCACCCAGAGTGTGCTGTGACTCCTGTGGGGGAAACCCCAGAGCTGGACTTGAAGGTCCAACTGGAAGCCAAGTAGGGAGGGCAGTGGTGGGAGAACAAGATCAGTGTCTCTGGTGCCTCACCGGGAGGCAGGAAAGATTATAATAGAGTTGTGGGCGTGGCTCCAAAGTGTTTCAGTCCTGGGCCAGGGGAGAGGGCTCTGATAAAATTCTGCCCTCTCAGGGTTGGGGGGTGACTACTTGTACATCTTTCTGGGAAGCCTTTACCTGTTTAGGAATTTTGGGCTTCTTCCTGAGGACATCTTGAACAAGAGAGCTATAAAAGTGAAACAAAGGCAAGGATTGGTAAGCAAAACATGAGGGCCTGCTGTCATAGCTGTGTTCTGGGACAAGAGCCTTTGGGAAATGTTTCAGTGGCATCCACCCTAAGTATAGGGCTGTAAAGAGCTGGACAGAACAGTGGCTAAGTCAGGGTAAGCTGGACCACGTCCCAAACCTGTGGCTTTATTGCAATACTTCCCAAGTCCCTGGGTACTTCATAACATTCCAGGCTCTACATGGGGCTGGGGAACCTGAGCAATTCATCATCCACAGGAGACCAGTCATACCCTAATACAGTAGGAAAGTATCTGGTGAGCCCAGGCCTAGTCCTGCCTACACAGATGGAGCACAACCTGCACAAGGTCCTCAGTAAGTGAGCCACTTAGAAAGATAGTCCAGAGTACTCTCAGGACACAAGGTCAGTCCATCATCCTACAGAATGTGTGCAGGGAGGACCCTGGGCAGAATAGAGATGGACCCAGGCCTGGCCTCTTACTTCCAGCCCCTGACCTGGGCACTGTTTCCATCTAGTTCATAGGCACCTTAGCAAGCTAGATACCTTCTCCTGGTATTTCTCCAGGGGAGTGGAAAGATGTTAACCCACAGCTCACCCTGTTTCTTTTCTTTTTTTTGCAGAACCGGGGATTGAACTCAGGCCCTTGTGCATGCCAGGCAAGTGCTCATTTTACTGAGCTATCTCCCCAGCCCCACCCTGTTTCTTTTCAAGCCACAAGAGGTCAGGAGCCTCCTCGTCTGCATTCTTAACTTGTGATGAAGCCATAGGACAGCCCTGGAAAGACTCTCCACTTGGTACAAGTCTAGCTCTAGGGAGGCTGAGTGGGTTAGGAATGTTCTATGCTTCTTTACTTTCCTACAGGTCCTGAAGATGGCAGATGTATCTCTAAAATGCTTGGCAGCCTGAAGACTCTGTTACCCATCTTTAACCTTAACAGTTGAAAAGGAGGTGATATGTGGAAACCAGGGTACACAGCAGGCACTGAGGGGGTGCCCTGTCTGAAGCTCATAGGCCCTGGGTTTGGTTCTCACTGTTTGCAGGCCCAAGTGACATGGCATGAATGTTCATGCCTAAGGTTGGCAAGTGATGGCTTGCCCTTTTACAGCTCCATTGCCCAATATCTCAACTTCCTTCTCTCATGCCCAATCTTAAGAAGAAACTTGATGGGCCCTAGATTTCCCTTACCTGAATAACACATCCCTACATGTATGAAGAGGTATAATCCATGATGAATCACATTTGGTGTACCTAGCCAAGGAGACTGCATTCTTTCTCCTAGTACAGGTTCTACTTGCCCCTTACAGCTCGAGAGACCTTCTGGGCTACTGCGCTGACTGGTAGGGCCCTGCCTGTACAGTGTAAAATGGCCGTGCCTCAAGCATGAGTCTCAGATGTGTACAATGATAGAGGAACTTTAGAGTCCCTGGCTCAAGACTGGTAGGCAGGCATTCAAGCTATTGAAAGCACTTGAGCCAAAACTGTCAACCCAAGAGCTGGGGAGATGGCTCAGTAGAATAAGCGCTTGCCTGGTAAGTGCAAGGGTCTGAATGCAAACCCTGGTTCCGCAAAAACAAAAACAAAGACCTATCTCTGCTGGGACCTCTGCATCTCTCAAACTCACAACCTAATGTGTTACTTAAAGGGTGATGATGAAGACTCAAATAAGAGAGAAAAACTTTGCAGTGGTGTGAGTCCTCAGGCCAGGGAAGAAGAGTTGGCTAGAACTGAAGAAATGGCCAAGCCCAGACAGCCCTCACTGTTGCACCAACCACACAGAGCCCCCAGGGCAGGACCCACAGAGATATCTTAGCTATCCCACTCCAGGTGGCAGACACTGCTGGGGACTGTCACTCACTGTGCCTTTTCCATGCAGAGCTTCTTGGAGCAGCTGTGCCGGGAGCCAGAGGTTTGGGCTGGAGGTGTTTTCACGTTGAAGGTGGCATTAAGGTCAGTGAGGTTGTGGGGAGATGGCTGGCTGAGCTTAGGGTTCAGTGTCTCCACAGGGGCTGGGCTGAAGGCAGAGGAGATCACAGTGGCAACTCAGAAGGAGCACAGCCCCCCAAGCATAGGAGACAGCTTGATCCAGTGGCCCACAGCCCACTCCTGACTCTGCTCAGCCCTTGGCAAAGTCATGGGACAGCAAATATCAGGAAGACAGAAGGCAAATTAAACCCAAGTAAGTAAGCAACAGACTCCTGTGCTTCCACCCTGCAGCTCCATTTCTCAGACTTGTGTGAAAGGAGTAATAGATGGTACTAATGGAGAGAGGGGTGCTTCCCTGACCTATAAAAATCATCTGCAAATCATTCCAGTACATCCTTCCTCCTTTATGAGCTGGAGGCCTATTTCTCTTCCTGCTAATAGTCTACATTCTGGGGCTGGGGAGATGGCTCAGTGGAATAAGTGCTTCTCTGGCAAGCACAAGGGCCTGAGTTTAATCCCTAGTTCCGCCAAAAAAAAAAAAAAAAAAAGTCTACTTTCTTTTCTTCTCACCTTTTGTGTTTTTATTTATCTTTTAACTTTCTTTTAATTTTGTATTTATTATCTACTTGGTGTAGGGTCTCACTATGCAGTTTGGACTCATAGTGATCTTCCTGTCTCAGCCTCCCCAGCATTGGGATTACATGCATGTGCCATCGGGGCCAGCATGCCATGTAGTACCAGAGATCAAACCCAGGTCCTTGTGCTTGCCAGGCAGGTGCTTAGGCCACCAAGCTATCTACCCAGCCCCTGTCTGTATTTTTCTTCTTCTTTTTTTTTTTTTTTAATTTTTATTTATTTGTGTGTGTGTGTGTGTGTGACCAGCTCAGCTCACCAGGGGGCGGGGCTGGCTGGCATGTGATACTTGGGGATTGAACCGCGGTCTCTGTGTTTTGCTAAGCTTGTTCTAAGTAGGTGCTTTAGACCACTGAGCCATCTCACCAGCCCTGTGTTTTTCTTGAGATGGGGTTTCACTATGCAGCCCAGGCTGGTCTCAAACTCATGGTGATCCTCCTGCCTCAGCCTCCCAAGTGCTGGAATTATAGGTGTATGCCACGATGCCCAGCATTCCCTCAAATGTCTTAAATAAATTTTGCCAGGTGTGGTGTCACGTGCCTATAAACGCAGCTTCTGATGCCTGGAAGAGTGAAGGGGGAGGATAGCTAGTTTGAGATCAGCCAGGGCAATTTAGAAAGACCCTGTCACATAAAAATTAAAAAGGTTAGAAATGTAGCTTAGTGGTATAGCATTCCTGTACCATAGAAAACAAATCAAAACAAAATTTCCTGGGCTAAGAGTGTGACTCTATGGTAGACCCTTTGTCTACCATGCTTGAGGACATGGGCTCAATCTCCAGCACTGAAAAAAAAAAAATCTTATAAATTCTTCTTAAGGGCCAGGGAGATAGCTCAGTAGAATAAGTGCTTGCCTGGCAAGTGCAAGAGCCTGATTTCAATCCCCAGTTCTGCAAAATAAATAAATAAATAAATAAATAAATAAATACATACATACATACTTAGATGCCAAGAAGACATGGACCTCTGTGATCTAAACTGAATATATTTCCAATGCATTCCAAGGAATATTTTAAGTTATGGAATTACCAAAATGTCAAGAAACATAAATCAAAGCCATGAAATTACAATCAAGTGGTCTTATGGTACTTTTTTCTTTTTTTTTTTTTGGTGGAACCAGGGATTGAACTCAGGCCTTTGCGCTTGCCAGGGAAGTGCTTATTCTACTGAGCCAACTCCCCAGCCCCTCTCATGGTACTTTTTTTTTTTTTAATATTTTTTTTAAAATATTTAAATATTTATTTATTTATTTATTATTTAGTGTGTGTGTGTGTGTGTGTGTGTGTGTGTGTGTGTGGCCAGCTCAGCCCACCAGGGGGCGGGGCTGGCTGGCATGTGGTGCTGGGGGATTGAACTGCAGTCCCTGTGTTTTGCTTAGCTTAGCTTGTTTTAAGTAGGTGCTTTAGACCACTGAGCCATCTCACCAGCCCCTCTCATGGTACTTTAAAAAAAATTATTATTATTTTCTTCAAACAGGTTCTCACTATGACCAGGCTGGACACAAACTCCTGGACCTAAGAGGTCCTCCTGTTTTGGCTTTCCAAGTGTTGGAACTACAGACACACTGCACCATCCCCAGGCTCATAAAGTCTTCATTGGCACAGAAGCAGAAGTTTAGGTGGGCAGCCATCTGGCTAGTGACTGCTACCCCTGAGCTGAAATCTGTGAGCAACCATCAGCAATTCACAGAATACAAATTAGGCACATACCCGCCCCTCAGAGAAGTCTCCCTCAAGCATCCCCAGTAGTTTCCATTGGTTACAAAAGAACAGTCAGTGCTACAAGTCTGATTTGAAAAGTCTCAGAGGTGTGGTCCACTTGCCACCAGCTCTTCTCTGTAAACATGCCCAGCTCAGTCACGCCTTTTTTGCATTTTTTGTTTTTGTTTTGTTTTGAGATGAGGTCTTGCTATGCAGTTCAGGCTGCCCTACAGTCCATGCTAGCCTCAAACCTATGCCAACCCTTCTGTCTCATCCTCCTGAGTGCTAGGATTACAGGCATGTGCTGCCACGCCTGGCATGGCCTTTACATTTGCCATCCTCTGTGCTTGGACTACTCCTTTAGGTCTACAATTTGGTTTAAGAAATATGTCAGTTCAGTTGCAAGGGGTGGCACACACCTGTAATCACAGCACTTGGGAGGCTGAGGCAGGAGAATCACCCTAAGTCTAGAGCCAGCTTGGGCTACATAAGCAAGGTCAAGGGCAACCTACACTAGTGAGTCCCTATCTCAAAAATAAAAATAAATAAATAAATAAATAAATAGGGGAAAAGGAAGATAGCTCAGTAGAATAAGTGCTTGCCTGGCAAGTGCAAGGCCTGAGTTCAAGCCCCGGTTCCACCAATAAATAAATAAATAGAAAAAAGAAATATGCTAATTCAGTGTGATATGTTGGGAAAGTGCAAGACTTCTTCAGAGCTACAGGCAACACACATCAGTTTTACCCTAGGGGCAAGGTAGAAGCAGGGACTTTGAGCTGCCCTTCGGTGTGAAGAAGCCCCAAGACAAAGCAGAAGCAGTAAGGGAAGACATGTTGTACTCTAGTGGACAGTATGATTTGCCTAGCTCCACAAACGACTGGAGACATGGCAGCAAGGGTTCTGGGAGGTGTGCACATGTGTGCGGACACCTGTGTGTATAGTGAGGCATGATGCCTAGAGCTGGAGAAACTTCTCTGAGGCTGATATGCTGGGCAGACAGGAGGAGCAGGCTCTTTGGTCACAAGCCTTGCAGAGACGGTACAAGGCAAAGGACAAAGAGGGGTCACACGGGTTCGTTAGGTAGGCAGGCAAGTGCCAGATATTTGGATATGAGGAAGAGGGGACTTGTGGGATTGCCAGAAGACATGAAGAAGTGGCCCAACCAGGGCATGGTGGAACACACCTGTAATCCCAGCATTCTGGGAGGCTAAGGAAGGACTGCAAGGTTGAGCCTAGGCCAAGCAACTCAGAGATTCAGCAAGATCCTGCTGCAAAAAAAATTTTTTTTTCTAAAAGGGCTGGTGGTAGGTGTCGTGGCATATACCTGTCATCCTACTTGGGAGGCTGAGGCAGGAGGATTGCTGTGCGTTTAAGACCAGCCTGGGGCTGGTGAGATGGCTCAGTGGTCTAAAGCACCTACTTGGAACAAGCTTGGCAAAGCACAGGGACCACGGTTTGATCCCCCAGCACCACATGCCA